AGACTAAATGTTCTGTTCTTCGCGTGGGAAATGTTTATTTTCTTGGTGGTGAACTTCGGTATATGTAGAGGCGTTGTTGTCAGTTGCTATGACATCAAGTCTGTGTGTAACGTAGCTGAAAAAGAAGAATAATACTAATGTCTGAGTTGCTCTTCAACTGTTGTTCTGCATTTTGTGGTGCAGTGCACTAAATTAATAATCCCTACATCTCCAGGTTTCAATTGAACTGAATCGTTCTACCGCCGTAGCGCAGCTATGAATGTAAAAGAACAGTCGTTTTTCACTTCAGCGTTGTGCACATGCGTGAAATTTTCAGATGAAACAATAGCATGCAAGGGGTCAGTAAGGTCGAAGCCTTTCAGCAGCTGAAGAAACCCCAAATGAAGAAAGAAAGCTTGTGGTTCAAAGCCGCGACACGATATCTTACTGAAGAATACAAAAAGCTCACTTCAAAGGCGTCCGCCTGGAGACAGAGAACATCTCAAACTTTCCTCCAAAAGAGTCCCCACCCCCACCTGTACCTGGCTGGGACCACTACAGTTTTACAATTGGTCAAGCAAATTACAGTCTTTACAAAGTGGCTGCAACATCTAAAATATTAAATAAGTTTGCTAAATAGAAGAGAGAAGAAGATGTTTTCGGCATGTCTTATCATAAATGTTTAAGAGGTCTAATTTATGGAGGAAATTACCAGGGCTGTGATGGATTTTGGCTTCCAGGGGGAAATAAAGCAGCTGGGTTGTGACGCTGAAACCAGAGGGTATATCTGTCAGCTGTAATCTTTATTCAATAGTTTAGTTAATAGTTGTAAATTGCCGTCGTATTTGTGTTTATGACGGAAAGATTTAAATCTTACAAAGTACTTCTGGTCTCTTAGAAAAAAAATCTTAGGACATTTGAAATAAGGCAAAACTAACTTACGAGTCACTTTTATAGCAAGAAATGGGAGCTTGTTTTAAATAAATAATTGCTTAATATTGATTAAAAAAACTACCAGTTCTACCAGGAGACTTTTTCATGTATAACAAGACATTTTCTCCATATTATAAGTGAACTATTACCTTTTAAATCAATACTAATCTCCTGTATCTTGCTGAATAGTTACTTGTAGGTTGATTTTGTCTTTTTTTTCCACACTAATTTGCTCCATAAACTAGACAAAAATACTTGGTAATGTTGTTTGCAGTGTTGTAATGAATCAGAGTTAATGTTTAAAATCATAATGTTGGCTGGTTAATAGATAAATGTTATTGCTCCTTTTCTCCTCTCAGCTTCATCTCCCTCAGATCAACTGATCTTAGTTGTCCGAGGTGGAAACTTCAGGGAGACTTTTTCTGTTTCTGTGTTTAAACATCAGACAGACATCATTATTTATCCTCATTCTCCTTCTCTTTCCTGTCTATATACTGTGCAATAAAGGCCACTAAACTTAAAAAAGGTAATGGCTCTTTTTAATGTCTCTGTTCTGTTTTAAAAGTGTTTCATGTCTTGGATTTATCTGTTTTATATATCGGGACCTTTAGCAAATGTACTGTTTTTAAAAAATGTGCTTTATAAATATATTAGATTTGGACATTTTAATACTCCTACAGTGGCCAATAACTGTGCTGACTGAATAAATGTTGGATCTATCTAGTTTTGATTGTTTTTTCTGTGTATGTTATGCTTCTGCTGTAAACATGAAATTATCCTCCAGCGTTTTCAGTGTTTCTCTAAGTGGAGACCTCACCACCGTGGTCCTGACGCTGCGGCTCGTCGTTGTCGTAGAATCTTTCAAGGTCAAGACAACGGTTCTCTTTAGGAAACAGATTTACCGCCATTTAAAACCACATTAAATCTGTGTGACATTCAGCCTCTAATAAAAGCAATAAAACATATCCAAGGTCGCCCGAGTGGTGCGCGCTCTAAATGGCTCACATCTGTAACAGTAATAACTTAAATTAAAACCCCACAATTACACTGTAAATATCTAATCACACAAAGTACATCAGAGGAGCCATCTTATCAGAGCGACTCGCCGCTCGGCGATTTCATTAAGGGCTTCTGACACGTCTGCGGCGGGCGGTCAGCGGAGCACTAATGCGGTAATTAACTCTACCGCTGAGTCTGAAATATGGAGTAATGCATCTCCGGCGTCCGGTCGCGTGCCTTTTCCTCTCATACTGACCACTGAGCGTGAAAGATGCCGTAGAAGGTCGTCCCTCGCCAGTCGGGCCCCGGCAGCGTGAAGACGGCCCGCAGGTTGTTGAAGGAAACGTGGCGCTCCGGCAGGGAGCACTCCAGCCGGGCTTTCTGGAAGGTGGTCCACTTCTTCTGCAGGGTCCTGGTGCCACCCAGATCACCCTGAAAGAGCCACACACAGCAGCTGAGCCTCCCTCTTTTCACTCCACATGTGGTCCACATTGGATCTGAGGTGAGCCTTCGGAGCCACATAAAGATGGTTACAAAGTCGGCCTTGTATCGCCTCGCAGAACATTTCTAGGATTAAAGGACTAATGTCCCAGCAAGACCTGGAGAAACTCGTCCATGGGCTTGTCTTACTGCTGGACGATAAAAGTTACTGCGATGATGTTTTTGTTTCTTAGACCTTTTCCAAGCGATAAAATAATAATGGTAATAGTACACACTCTTAAAGATCAGTAAACATTCATTTGTAGTGAACATTTAGTAATGAACTTGAAGACATTTTACATAACCAAAAGAAATAAATATCAGAACCAACAGATAAAGTGAATTATGACGTCTCTATAAACAAAACTGTCCTTCAAAAACAGGGACTGGTTGAGACCAATGGACTAAACTAAAGACTTTTGTAAATGTAAACAATCAAGCTGGTTTTAATTTATCTTGTTATTAACTGAATTATTGATTATTGTGACAGGTCTAGGAATGAACAGATCTCTGTGAGATGTCCACAGTTTCAGATTTTGCATTGTAACGTAACTTTGCTTCAAGCTTTTTCTCCAGTTTTATCCCTGACCTGTCTGCCGTCCTCCTGGATCTTCATGACTGTCTTCGTTCTCTGATGTTCTCTAACAAACCTCGGAGGCCTTGACAGAACAGCTGGACTTTTACCGAGACCAAATTAAACACAGATGGACTTCATGTACTAATTAGATGACTTCTGAAGGCAGTTGTTCTCTCTGACTGGACCGTAACGACACGTTGTCGAACAAAAACAAAGACGGTAACGACATCTTCAAAGCCGACGTGGCTGAAAGAAACAGCCGAACTCTGCTTTTTCGCAAACTGATCAAAGTAATAGTCCGCTGACAACATAAATATACTCAAACGGCCAGTCGGTGGTTTAAGCAGACGGATATTTTTTGGTGCTGAACTCAGAAATGTAGGATTACAAATGATTTTTGCTGAACGCTATTTTTCATACTAGATACGCTCTTTAAGCTCCCAGGTTTTTTCTTCTTCTATTTCTTTTAGCGCTTTGTTATATTGCATTTCATTAGCCTCCCCTTCACCCCATCAAAGACAAATATCATCTTTATTCTCCCTCTTTATCTGCTCAGCAGTAAATCTGTTCAGTTTGCCCCCGCCGACTGAACTGTTGTAATTGCACGTAAAGGCTTTCAAATCCATTCTGACCCTCAGATATTGAAGTCTGATATGAAGGACAAAAAGAAGGAAAATAATAACGCTCATTAAAAAAAAAAAAAAAAAAAAAAACGGTAAATGTGTAGACAGGTGGTGCTGGATTGTCTTCTTCTTTGTGCTCAAAGGAGACCCAATTTGTTGAATCGTTCCTATTATCCTCTGCAGATGATGTAAAACAGGATTTAGAAGGTGCAAATGCATGTGGCGCAGCAGCAAAACTCACAGAAGCAGTGCAACGCGTGCTAAGCAAAAAGAAGGAAAATAATAACGCTATTATTAAGCTATCGGGATATAGTGTGATCCAAACAATTCAAACATCACAGTGCATTAAAGAACAGTCAAGCACGTCTCAGGGAAGAGGCTGCTGACGTGCGGCCGTAAGGACGGCGCAGCATCAAAGCTAATTAGTTTTCCTAATGAGGCCATTTATTTTGAAAATGAATAATTAATTAGCAGATATGTCCACGTCAGTGTGATTGTCTGTCTCCGCATGGGCCGATATAAGCAAGGTGGCGACGAGCCGAGAGTGTGTTGCTCCTGCTGCTTTGGGTTAAAATAAACGATTTAAAAGCCACTGATCACTCTTATTCTCCTTTCTTTGTTTGGTAGCACGCGCTCTCCGCTGTGTTCTTCTACTGCACAAGATATCCGGCTGTTTTGGTTCCTACTGAACATGAGTTAGCTTTGTACAGCTAGCTTACACTGCAGTGCCAAGGCTTTCGGGGGGTGAATTGTTTTGCCTTCTTGGAAACGTCTCAGTCTTGTTGGAAGGAGATCATTTTCCCAACTCTTTCCACAGATTCTCAGCTGAATTTAGGTCTGAACTTTGACCCGTAGTGCAAAGCTGGCAGGTCTGTGCCACATCTGCATGCCCAGAGGGAGGTTGTAAAATTTAGCTTATTCTTTCTTGTACAATAGATCAAACTCAGTCAAATTAAATAAAGTAAGTCTCAATAGTTCAGTCCAGACTTTGATTAGAGACCACTGAAACGTGTTATAGCAATAAACTTGATTGATTGCTTAATTTGCAGTGGCTGTAATTAGTTGAACTGTATTTTATAGTGGGGTATCAGAGTTAAAGGGGCTGAACATGTTGAATTAGTGCAGTAGAAAATCCATCTATCATTTTCCTCTGCCTTCTACTCTCTATTTTATCAAAGTGAAACACGAGGAATACTTTTGCTTTGCCCTCTGCACTAGATTATTCCTGAAACAGCTCTCTAGCTGAAGCCCACGATGGTTAGCACATTATTAAGTTCTCAGAAACAGCTGCCAGCACAGCTGGACGAAGTAGAAAACAGCTGATTCCCAGACGAGTCTGCAGAGAAGCGCGAGTTCACGTCAAATCCGTCCCTGCGCTCCTGTATTAACTCTAACTGCGTTAGCCGAGGCCAATCGGTGTTGGAATCGGTGCGTGTTTACGGAGCCCGGGCCGGCCTCCGGGACGGATCGGGTTACCTTGCAGACGCGGGCCACTCTGGCCACGGTGAGCTCGGTGTCGCAGTCCAGCTCCAGCGCTCGCTCGCTGAAGAAGAAGTAGATCTTGTCGTCGTCACCGTCTTTGCTGCCGCTGCTCTCCCTCACCAGGGCCGAGCCCACAAAGTCCGGCTCTGCGGACACACACACACACACACACACACACACACACACAGGCACAAAAAGGAGATCAGAGGGTGTATTTTTACTCGGCTGACATATATCACAAGTGAGCAGAGACGGTTTCAGCCTGCAGGCCTGAATCACACCCCACGCTTGCTAGCTTGACACGTCCATCTCATCCTCTGTCGGCCTTTCTCACCTCCTCCTCTATTTGCTTTCATCATCCCCCTTCGCCTCACCTCTCCACCAGTCGTTTCTCACTCTCCGTCTCTTCCTCTGCTCACTATTAGCGATCCATTTTGTGTTTTCCCCTTTCCTCAGTCACTGCCGTCTTCTTTTTTTATGTCTCTGTGTCTGGGCCTCATTAGATTGTAGATATTGCTTTTTCAAGACAATCACGCTTTTTTTTTTAAAGAAAAAAATCTTAGCTGCTTGGGGCTTCAAATTCATTTTTATGGCAAAAAGTTTTTTTTAAATATATATTCCGTGAATTTACTGGCTGCCCAGACAGACCATTCTTTTTAAGGTAGGAGTCACATTTTCAGCCGTAATGGGATGGTGTAAACTCTTCACCGAAGCCCAGACCAATTGAAGGCTTTTAGTTTGGTCAGAAATGGCTTAAATTGAGGTGAGTCTGGTTTCATCGCAGGTCTGGTCTTAAATAAATAACAAAAACTTCAATATCTGTATGAATAATAAACAGACATGCGAGGCGGAAGCTGCGCCTCATCTGTATGCGCCTCCTTTCTTCGCGTACCTCCCCGTCTCCTCTCACCTCTCTCTCTCTCTCTGACTCTTCATCACCATTCCTAATGTCTTGTTTTTCCATCATCCATTTCTCCTGCTGTGACTTCATCCTCTTCTCTCCCCTTCATTTCTTTCCAAGTGCCTCACTCTGTCCCCCGCCTCCTCAACCCAAATGATAACAATCCTTTGTCGTAGCTGAGGAGCGAGCTTCATGCTCTCTGCTTTTTTCACCTCAAATTTCAGGCTCGTCTTTTAAAACGACGTGAAGCTTGATGAAAATTAAACATCCTCGTTAGCTTCCACCGTTTCTGTAGCCCGTCTTTACTCCTCAACCTGAGTTAATCAATCATATTTTAAGTGGGTTTTGGTTCTAAATCAAAATGCTGAATGTAATTTAAAAGACTAGCTTGGATTGGTAAGCTACACCAATTCAAAGTGTGTTGGGGTTCCAGTTTTACTTTCTTCCCACAGAGAAACAGGCCCTGCTAAGGTAACGCATGGACCTATTAGACCTGATATAACGTTAATGCAGCTGTGATTTAGAAATATAGACGTGCTGCGTGTTATCGTTTGCATCTGGAAATTTTGTGCATTCGCATAAAGCCGGAGAGTAAAAAGACGATTCTTTTACTTGCCATCCGTAGCAGTGCTGCTGCGGTAGAACGATTCAGCTAACAAAATGAAACCTGGAGATGCAGGTATCATTAATTCAGTGCAGTGTGCCACAGCAAAGGGAAAGTAATGCAAAAAATGGTGAACAACAACTCAAGAGTACTCATCTTCACACTCTCTGTGTTGGCTACGTTACATGAAGCAACAGACGCCACTAATGTATCAGGATTCAACAATGAAAAACACGCAAACATTTCCCACACAAAGAGCAGAACATTCAGTAATTATGTTTTCAAACTTTATGTTTATTTTTGCGATTATTGATAAGTGGTTGATTAGTTAATTTAAACACCTGCTCTGCTGATGATATGTCAGAGTTGATGTGTGGGTTTCTTTTTTCAACTGAGCCAAAACACGTTGAATTCCACAGCACATCTACGTGTTAAGATTTTCAAAGTCAAGCTAGCATAACTGACCTATTTCCCTCTCCTTCACTATTCTTTTAAAATTAAAACTTTTTCCTGACTTTGTTAGCTGTCATAGTGTTGACAATTAGTAGCAAAGCACTGTGTTCCTTTTCTTTTATGTATATATCACACATACGCTAAAGATTTAGCGCGTTATGTTGACAACTTGAAAGCTTAACCAACGGTAGGTATTGTGAGTGAACATTTTTTTGCACATGACGTCAAGTTGCAACCCGTCTGTGTTTCTTTCATCTTTACAGAAAGCAAAACTTTTTGGTGGTAATAGTATGAAAAGGTAGAAAAAAACAGTTTATTTATTCAAGAGCTAAAAACAGAGATATAAAGGTATTTATGTCAACATTTTGAACTTTTACAGGCTTCGAGGATCATGCATTTTAATGTAAAAGGCAAACAGTACAGGTTGTGCACTGACAAGATGTTTTCTATACATCACCAGAGGCAGTTATGTTTGTTTTCAGGAAAACAGACAACTTTACAGCAAAAATTTAACTTTTCTATCTCTTTGAATGAACTGCAGTAACATAAATGACACAGACAGATGAGGAAAGGGAGTTCATTTGTATTTGTAACAAAAAGAAAAGCACAAAAAAGTCCTTAATTCTGTAACAGTGACAAGTCTATTACATGTATTAATAAATGAGAGGTCTTGCGTTTGCCCCCAGCATAATCTGCTCTCTTTCTTATGCTTTCCATGCTCGACTGAAAAGCGGCTAAATTTAGACTTTTAATAACATGTTGAAATAACGTTCCCTTCTAGAGCAAATACAGACCAATTTTAACCTAGACATCTGTGGACACATTAGATGTGTTTTTATTGAAAAAATAAATCTCACAGGGTTTTTCTGGCCACTCTATAACCAAAAACACACAGGGTGACGTTAGCAAGCTAACCTGCTGCTAGCTACAGCTGAAGCAGAATTATGTTTATAAACAAGTACGGGCCATTTGTAGTACTAACGCATATATCAAGAGCTGCCCAGAAATATATGGCTCTCATACAATACAGTTAATTACAGCAGCATACAGAGGTAAATACTTCAAAATTAGCCATACCACTAGCTTAAAGTAAGTTCCAATTTTTTTCACAGATGGGGCAGAAAAGTGTTTAATTTGACAAAGAATATGAGAGAAAAAAAACATTTCATGGATTGACAGAGAGATAGAAACTTGTCTTTATGAATAAATTTCTATTTAAAACATTTATTGTATCTTACACAGCTCTCTCATGTTTTTCATTAATCTTTAGTAAGAACACAACAGCTCATATTTCCAGCACTAGTTTAAGAACGGTCGAGTTCATGTTCCCAGAAAACTACATCTATTTTCAGCTTGGCACTATGAGTTATGTTCATTTTGTTTCTAATGGATGACTCTCAGTGATGTATAGCCGACGGTGGTTATGGAGTTGGAGGCCGTGTGAGAGGTGTCCCAGCTCGCTGAGATGACAAAGTGAGAACACACACAACGTGGTGTGTATTCACTGGAGACATAAGCTGAGTACGACTCAGGGGTCACCTCCAGGAAACAGCTGTACCTCTGCTTTCTGCCACTAATGTTTGCCTGTTCTGTAACTGTACAGGTTATTTACAACAGCAAGTATAGGCAATAAAAGCTACACTAGGCTAGCAGGTGATAGATACCCTGCCATTCAGACAACAAAGTCAGTGTGTCTGCTTTTCTCAAAAACATCTTAAATTCTTGTATCAAAAAGTACGGTTTTGAAATGTCTTAAATTCATTAAAAAAATTAAGATGCCCTTAAATACGTTAATCACATGCCTTACATTTTATTGTAAGACGTGTATAAGCAACATATTTTCATTGGTTCTGTGATTCGAGGTGGTTGAGGCTACAGCTAACTAGCTGCTAATGAGTCCTTGCTAATTAGCTTTTTTTAAATCTATCATGGGAAAGTGTAAATTTGTCACCAGTTTTTTGTCACTGGCTCACTTCCAATCATAACCCATACGTTGTTATGCATTCTGTGCAAAAAAAAACAAATATAATGTAAAATATTCACCTTTCTTTTGTACATTTCCGTTGTGCTGCAGCAGGTCTTAATTTTCATTCATAATGCTCTTAAAACGCTGGTCGGTACAAGAGTTAGTTGCTATTAAACTCAAACTAGAGGACAAACAGACCAAGGAGTTAAACCGACTTCTTAAAATTGACCTTCATTGAACAAATGATGGCAGAAGATTCTAGAGGAAGTACATTTATTGTATAAAACCCAGTTTTCTTATAATTTGTTACTTCTAGCTCATCTAGTTCACCTGACAACAGCGATAATGTTGATCCACTCAGAGGTTTAGTGGACAATGGGAAGTTGCCCTGGGTCAATGATTTTTTTCCTGATGAGGTAATGCAGATGGGTAATGAGCCATTAGATAATACCAGCGCTGGTTAACCTTTAATGTAAGGGTAAAAATCTACTTGGAAACTGTACATTATCGTTGGACTTGTGCTTTAACTGTGCCAGATTGAGGGGAAAGTGTGATGAGTCCAACAACAGCAGGACAGTGCATTTCTTTTCATCTCTACATAATTTTATTTTATTAGAAGTGACCACCTCTTTCTGCTCCACATTTTCGCACATTATTGTTTTTTCTCTTCACTCTCACCGTTTAGCCAGGCAGGCAAGTATTCACTCTTCATGCTGTAATGCTGCTGGCCCAGGTTTCTCAGAATGACCGGCTCCGTGCCCAGGAAGTTGTTGAGCGTCGCTGAGTACAGCTCCTTATCTGTAAAGAAAGAAAAAAAAAAAGCAAGCTTTACATTAATTCAGCTTCTTTTTTTCCCCAACAGACAATACAGGCGTACATTGAAAGAGCCTCTGTGTATCAGCTGGGAGGCACAAAAATGCTGCAAGAACGGCCGTTTGTGGGGTCACTAAAGCTGCCCACAATCAAGTGAATGCAGCATAAAAAGCTAAATTGCACCTCTGGACTCTCGGCTCAATTGTATTGGCTGCTGAAGCGATGAGAGTTTCTGCCGGGTTTAATGCTTCTTTTAATTTGTTCAGGTTCCACAGTTGGAGCAACAGCAGCAGCTGGCGGGGAGCGTCTTCTTGACAGGGTCAGACAAAAATTAGTATTTTCTAAGAATAAAGTATTGGTCAAATAGATAATCTGTATGCATACAATATTGTGAACAAGCCATTTCATTTTCTTTGTATTATTACTATTATTCTCTGCAGACTGTGTTTGTGGAAGGTTTCAAAATGTTTTGAGAAAACGGCATGGACTTTTTCAAGGTCTATTAACATTTTACTTTGGATTCTTGTACGTTGAGTAATATGTTGTTGCAGATTAAACTCAAACTAGAGGACAAACATCACTGCAGACTAAGCGATAACAACAGGAACAAATTGCATTTTTGACAAAGTACACTTCAAAACAGTTTGTTTCTCCTCACACCGCCATGCAAAAAGCGTTGATGCAACTCACTAGAGCATAATTGTGAAGTGTAAAGAAAAGCATAAATGTGTTTTTCTTTACAAATTAAAAGAAGTGTTTTTGTATTGCATTTGTAGCTCCGTGTGTAACTTAGGTTCAGGAAAAGACAGAAAACGTTAGCGAATAAACAGGATCATGAAGACCAAGGAAAACAGCAGACAGGTCGGGGATAAAGTTGTGGACAGAGTTTAAAGCACGGTCAGGTTAGAAATCAATATGCTGAGCCTTGGATACCGCATGGAGTTCAATCCATCACCATCATCATCATCAGAGAGTATTGCACAATTGCAAAGCTACCAACTCGTGCTGGACAAGGACATAACTAAATAAAGAAGCAGCCAAAGTGGCCTGCAGTCACTCCTGAGGATTTGGTGGGAGAATCTGTTGACTTGACAGCTGATTGCTGTTGACGCCACAAAGCTGGAATAGATTGACTGATTTCCGTTAAATGGGACAGAGAATGTTAATGATCGTACAATGTTGTCGTGCATATTATCAGATTTAGCTAAATGCTACATTCCAATCAAAGTCTCAGATAACAATAATACTGATCTACTTACAAAAGAGGCCTAACTCAAATTAAGAATCTGTAGAAAGACTTGAAAACTCCACAGACTCTCCTGACTGCCTGAGCACGAGCTACTTTGTGGCAAAAATGTGGAGAAAAAAAATCACTGTACTTGATGTAAAAAGTGGAGGGCTGAATAGAAATGCATACTGAACTTTTATTAGCATACTGAACAGACTTTTATTTATATATAAAAAATGCTGAAAACCATTTTGTAGCGTTAGAAAATGTGAAAAAGTTAAAGAGGTACAAACATTTGTGATTCATTCTCTAAGGCAATTTGCTTTGCCTAAATGACTCAAAGGTCTCTGTGAGGTGGAACACACAAACTTCAAAGTTGAATTACAAAATAAAAGAAAAATAAAGCCAAGTCTCAAGATGCCTTGGAAGACTGTCAGGAAAATTTGAAGAACTACTGACTGAGAAAAAGTACCAAGAAGCTTTGTTCCTTACAAGTGAATAATGACAAACGGGAGGCGTGCAGAACGTCGCAGTTTATAATTATGTCAACTTACCCACAATGAGACCAGTGTGGCCTTTGGCAGGGTCATATGGACATTTTCCCTTCCCATCCTCCAGAGCTGCCGGGTTGAGGGTAAAATCGTCCGCTTTCTGCAACCAAACACAAATTCCCACACACACACAAAAAAAAACTATGAGGGGAGCACAGGTGGTTCATGGTCAGTTTGAATTATGACCCACATGACAGAGCTGCAAGCCTCGTCCATCCGGTGCACGAACCCTTGCCATGTTGTCCTGTCGCATCAGTGTAACATGCGCACGCACACTCAGAAACCCACTCGGCAACACTCACATTATTCAGCCGACCCCCTGTATGCTATGCTTCTCTTCTGTTGCATTTACTTTCGTTTTGTCACACGGCGGCATGGGTCCCCCCGGGGTCAGACGTGTCAGGTTGACACCTGTCAGCCACTGCTTGCCATGACTCCAACCAGAAAAACACACACACGAATACTTACAATGTAATTGCATTTGGGCTGGAAGGCGTAGGTGCCGCAGGTGTAGAGGTGTGTGTGGTTGTAGCTCTGCAGGAAGCGAATGTAGTTGAAGCACTCAGTCTGCGAAGGGAAGAGTGGGAGAAGGGAATAATTGGAGTGGGTTTTTCTTTCAAAAAGTAAAGCTGCAGCAGGAGTAACTTTGTTGTTTGTTAAAGCAAAGATGTTTTAACCACTGGTTACACCAACTCAAATTTAAAACTTTTAAGACCTTTTGAAGACTATTATGAATAAACTGTAAGCCCTCTGTCACAACAGAGATGTTCAAAAGACATACAGGGAACCAAAACTGTGAAATTTGTGGGTCTCTTGGCTGCAGTTTTTTGCTTCTCACATAATAAAAATGGCAATAGATAGCTAGTGGCTTAGAGAGCCATATACTAGCTACTAAAGGCTTGTTTGTTTGCTTAGTAGCTAGCTAGTTTGCTTAGTAGCTAACTATCTAGCAAATTAGCCAGTTAGTTAGCCGGTAACAAGCTGCTAATACTTGCTTGTGAGCTAGCAAAAATAATCAGCCTTAGTTAACTAGCTAGAAGATTAGCTAACCTTCTAACTAGCCTTATAGGCTAGCTAGCTAGCTAACTAGCATTCTAGTTAGCTTGCTAGTTACCTCACAAGCAAGCTAGTCAGCCTTCTAGTTAATTAGCTTGCTTACAAGTTAAATATCTTGCTAGCCAGTTTGCTACTGGTAGATTTAGCCACCTTTATAAAGTAAAGTCTCGCCATGACAAAACTGTGATTAACATATTTAAGATCAACTTACATTTTCTTTAATGAATTTAAGAGATATTGAGACTTTTTAAAGATGAACAGCCAACCTGCCACCATGGTGCAGGTGAGAAAAGTCTACAAGGAAAGTCTGCAATGAGAACTCTAGAAATACATTTATAAACAAACTCGCTTTCATTCTTCTGTTAAGAGTAGAAAAGGAAGCAGTACGAGCGTTCATCGTCCTTTTGACTGCATCACTTAACATACAATGCTGTGTCAAATTATCTGAATAATCTAAAATGATGAAAAAAGTCACCGACAGTTCCAGGGAATAATTAACAGAATAATTTATGCAGCGCTTTATGGGGATTGCCCTTTCATGTCTGCACGGCAAGGAATGAAGAATGAAGCTCTTCGGATGGAAAAGAAAAACAGATGCTCAGAAACGATGCATACCAGCGGAATGAATAATTCACCGCGTCTTGTTGATATTGTCTCTGCAACAGCAGGCCAGACAATCCAGCTTGATACAGAAAAACCTAGCAAATCTGTAAGCCAAAACAATAATTGGCGTAACAGCCAGATTGTTTTTTTTTGTTTGTTTTTTTTTAAACAAAGTTTACATTTTCCTTGCAGATTTATTCATGTTACTTCAATTTCATTTTGGAACAACAAAGTACATTTTCAAATCTTGTATCATTTTCCCTCCTCTTCACAAGTGTATGCTGAATTGTGCTAATCTTAATTGAAAGGCGACAAAATGTGGAAAAGTTCGAGGGGTGTGAATACTTTTAAGCTCCTCCTAATTTTATTTAACATGGACTTATTAACTCTACTTGGAGCCATTTTCAAACTCTGCTGCTTCCCCTGCTCTCCGATGAACTGTTTCCCCTTTCCACTGAAAACCACATCAAAAGTTGCTGTTGTGCATCCAGTATATGAGTTACTATAAAATATTAAGGAAGGATGTTTTGCTCGTGGACAGCATGCAGCCTCAGTAAATGGAGGCTCCCGGTGAGGCTTAAGTGCAGACCCTGGAAAACTCACTATCTGTCTGCTGATGATGAGAATCTGAATCCAAGAGAAAGGATTTAGAAAGGTATATGTCCTAAAAAGACTTGGAACTAGGCTTTATATAGTTAAATAAAGAATTAGTTCTGAAAATTAATTTTTAAAGCATTTTGAATCTTAAATCTACAGTCATGGCCAAAAGTTTTGAGAATGATTCAAATGTTAATATTTACAAAGTCTACTGCTTCAGTTTTTATAATGGCAATTTGCATATACTCCAGAATGTTATAAAGAGTGATCAGCTTAACAGCAATTAATTGCAAAGTCAATATTCGCCTAGAAAATGAACTTTATCCCCCAAAACACATTTCAACTTCATTGCAGCCCTGCCTTAAAAGGACCAGCTAACATTGTTTCAGTGATTGCTTCATTAACACAGGTGTGGGTGTTGATGAGGACAGGGCTGGAGATCAATCTGTCATGATTAAGTAAGAATGACACCACTTTAAAAAGAGGCTGGTGCTTGGCATCATTGTTTCTCTTCTGTGAACAATGGTGATCTCTAAAGAAACACATGCAGTCATCATTGCACTGCACAAAAATGGCCTAACAGGGAAGAGTATCGCAGCTAGAAAGATGGCACCTCAGTCAACAATCTATCACATCATCAAGAACTTCAAGGAGAGAGGTTCCATTGTTGCCAAAAAGGCTCCAGGGTGCCCAAGAAAGACCAGCAAGTGCCAGGACCATCTCTTAAAAGTGTTTCAGATGCGGGATTGGGCTACCAGCAGTGCAGAGCTTGCTCAGGAATGGCACAGGCAGGTGTGAGTGCATCTGCACGCACTGTGAGGCGGAGATTCTTGGAGCAAGGCCTGGTCTCAAGGAGGGCAGCAAAGAAGCCACTTCTCTCCAGGAAAAACATCAGGGACAGACTGATATTCTGCAAAAGGTACAGGGAGTGGACTGCTGAGGACTGGGGTAAAGTCATTTTCTCTGATGAATCCCCTTTCCGATTGTTTGGGACATCTGGAAAACAGCTTGTTCGGAGAAGACGAGGTGAGCGCTACCACCAGTCTTGTCTCATGCCAACTGTAAAGCATCCTGAAACCATTCATGTGTGGGGTTGCTTCTCAGCCAAGGGAGTCGGCTCTCTCACAGTCTTGCCTAAAAACACAGCCATGAATAAAGAATGGTACCAGAATGTCCTCCGAAAGCAACTTCTCCCAACCATCCAAGAGCAGTTTGGTAATGAACAATGCCTTTTTCAGCATGATGGAGCACCTTGTCATAAAGCAAAGGTGATAACTAACTGGCTCAGGGAACAAAACAGAGATTTTGGGTCCATGGCCTGGAAACTCCCCAGATCCATTGAAAACTTGTGGTCAATCAAGAAATGGGTGGACAAACAAAAACCTAGGAATTCTGACAAAATGCAAGCATTGATTGTGCAAGAATGGACTACTATCAGTCAGGATTTGGTCCAGAAGTTGATTGAGAGCATGCCAGGGAGAATTACAGAGGTCCTGAAGAAGAGGGTTCACTGCAAATATTGACTTGCTGCATTAACTCATTCTGTCAATAAAAGCTTTTGTTACTCATAATATGATTGCAATTGTATTTCTGTATGTGATGAAAACATCTGACATACACACATGAAAACCAGAGGGCAGCAGATCATGTGAAAATATAATATTTGTGTCATTCTCAAAACTTTTGGCCATGACTGTAGTAGGAAACCATCTCAGCTCCTTCATTTAGTTAGATCTGGAGTCTGACGCTAATGGCTGGTCTGCAATGGGTCAACACCAAAACAGACTAAACCACCTCATCTTAAATCAACAACAACGTCAAAAATGTTACGGTGTTTTATTGAAATGCTGATTTCTGAATCTTAAAGCCGTTGTCATGGAGCGGCTATTTACAGAAAATCCTGATATTTTACACAGGAAATGGACAACCCTAATTATCTTCCTACATTAAACACGCACTGGGGAGGGAAAATGTAAACCATTTCTATTTGAGATCACTATTTAAATGAAAAGTAGGGTAGAGTAGAAAATAAAATGAAAACCACTTATATTTTCTACTTCTTTTTGAACTGCTTTACCTTTAAATCACAAAGTTCCTCTGACCAGAACTGCTTCACATGTTGGCGTTATTTCACTCAGGTAGACTGTTAGTGATGAACTATCTTACAACGCAACTTCTTGTGTAAATACTTAGCAGCTTCTAAGCAAATGACCACCCAACGTCAACATACCAACAGGTTTAAGGTTCGTTAAACAGACATAAATCGATATGGCATTTTTGAGAATTGATGAGAGCTATGTTAACCTTTCATAACCTCTGAACAACAAATTATAAACTGTTCCTTTAAGCTGAACTAAATTCAGTGGTAGTTGTGCAGACTGCACCTGACCAATCAGTGTGCATGTTCTGACTGCAGGCATGTCCTGTTGTGTTTGGACTGCAGTGTTACCAAACACCATCCTCAATTGCTTTCTGTCCTTTCTGCAAGCAGAGCTGCAATCTGCTTTTTTTTTTTTTTTTGCAGCTGAAGACAAAAGACATGCTGAATCCGAGCGCTTTAAAAAGTTGCTGAGCCTGACCCTGTCCGAATGATAGACTTCTCTGTGGGCTAATGGAATGACTGGAAAGTTTCCAATCTGGAGACTCCTAGCAGTCTTAACAAAATGTAATTAAGTGAACTGAGAAATGTTGCACTTACAGTATAAGCTATTATTTTTCAAAACGAGTGCCGTGCTGTCGAACCGGCGGACGAAGCCGTCTGAGGGGCTGTGTGAGTTAGCATCCACTTTACCTGGTTGTTCTTCCCCTTGGAGACACATTCCCTCTTCTTGTCCTGCGGAGCCGGCCAGTCGATCTGGGGGAAGATGGAGGCCAATGTGACTAACCATTAGCACCTGCAGGTGGGACATCTATATGCGTAGCAATACACAATGCCTGAAAAAAAGGCCCTTCCCTAGTCTCTTATGAGACACACTTTGAAACACATTACAGTAGAAAGAGACATCTTACTGCTCTGCCAATTCTCCACACGATTGCCCACCAGTTGCTGTAACTATAGCAACTAACCCAGACTTGTGTTAAGACTGTGTTCCAACAAATATGCTTCAGATATATTTCACTTGGTGAAAATTTTAAAGTGTTTGACACATTTTTTGATGAACTAACTATATTCATAGATAGTCAGGGAAAAAAAGAGAAAATAGCTCACCCCAAAATATTACGAAAAAATGTTCAGAAACATGTATGTCTGATCTTATTTTTATTTATCTCTGAAAAAGAAAGTGAGTTAATTGCATTTAACAACAAAAAGAGGCACGTTTTACTCATCAAAAAACATTTTAAAAAGATGTTTTATAATGAAAAAGTTGGGATACCATACACTATTAATGCTATTAGAGTTTTGCAGTTTTATTTTGGGATGCAGCTGCCACTAAATGCATCTTGTATTAATAAGTACAATGCACTTTACAGTGATTTTATAGTTTTATTTTCTCTCTTTCTGCAGGTGTAGAAGCAGACTTCTTTCCTCATATCCTCTTCATCCTTCTCTCTCCTCCACTTGTAAAAGTAAATCTCTTGGGCTTTTCCTTCGCACAAATAAATAATCAAATAAATCATGACTTGCTTCCTGTAGCCATCTACTGCTCTCTGATACGTCTCATTTTTAGCTGTTGAATGTTTAAAGGTCTTTTTTCCATGCATGGCTTGTTTCAGGTCACTCCACAGCATGTTAATCAGATCAAGACTTGAGTTTTGACTCAAACACGGTTGATTTCATGAATCAACAGGTCAGGTCCAGTTGATGCAAAGCATCCCCAAACCCCAAGACTTCCAGACGCTGGTCAAACTGGTCTGTTTCTATGCTTCTATGTTTCTAACCTGGTGTTCGACTCTTGCGGACTTCGCTTGGTCCGCCAGACCAGACGTCCTCCAGTTGTAGGGAACTTTCTGTACAGGAAAGTGGCAGATCCTTTGAGACCTTTTTAATCCGTCCAACGTATTTCTGAACACCTCAGACACTTCTTTGGATCTCACCGGTGTGTTCGCGTCCACTTCGACACTCAGGACCCCACCAGACTAAATGTTGGGGGTTCAAACAGCAAAAATCTCCTGTTGAGTAGCCACATTGTTTTTAAGTTTTACTGATTTGGTATGATTCTGTGTCAGATTCCACCAGGAAATGGCTGTTTTCTGTAACATTACTTTTACAGTAAGCACTGTTAAAAGTAATATTAAAAAAGTCCTATTCCAGATTTATCCTTATCTTTGTTTTGTTTTTTTTGACTGTCTTTTTTTTAACATGGCTGTTTTTGCAGATAGCCTCGCCTTGCTAATCCACAATGCACTACGGTCAGTTATAATAATCCACAGACTGAGCTGCAGGTGGAGGAGGGTTAAAACACAGAGAAATGTCACTGAAGCAACTCAGACTCATTCCATGGTTGTGTTGTTTCTGTCTCTGGCTCCATTAAACCCACTGCCGGGAGTGAGTTGGACCCCGCGAGAGCTTTACTGGAGGGATATATCTGATGATTAAACACCACAGCTCCCTGAAAGGATCAAAGACAGCCGGAGAGAATATCGCGGCGCAAAGCGCCACCGGAACATGCAGAGACCTTAAAAATGCTTTCTCCTCAACAACACCTGGCTGAACTCTGCTCCGTGGACAAAGGTCAGAGGAATCCACCGTGTTTCCTTAGACGTTTCACACACCATTAGTTCTAATTATAATGGCTATTAGGGCGAGAGAGCGAACGCCTCCACTGGATGCAAACCAACTCCAATCAAACGGTGGAGTTTTTACAAAAAGCAAATGTGCTGGTAGATAAACCGCGCCTTAGACTATATAGGATGGTCATTACGTGCTACGGCAACTGTGGCTTTTAATGGTCTCGAAGTAAAAATAAAACATAAAGCGGGTTGTTTGGCATGATGACTGGCGGTGTAATCCACAATGTAAATGATCATTTTTATTACTCCATCTTAAATACGTGTAGGTAAGGTGAGGCCTGGCGAACGAATCCATGCCCATTAAATATTTCACATTTTGTGATGTTGCAGCTGCAAACCTCCAACACAGAGATTACTGAGGTTTTTATGCGACAGTCTTTTGGAGCTTTCAGACGTTCACATTCAGCTCCACAGATTTTCAACTGGATTTATGTTTGAACTTTGACTGCAATGCAGAAAATATACTTTTGGTCAAACAATTTCATCGTAGCCCAGGCAATATGTACAGAGATGTTCTGCTAGAAGTTGAACTTTGACCCGAGTATTTCCCAGCCTTTAACTCTTATTGTTCCTGGACTGTCCTGCATGTTTAATCCATTTGAATCTGCCCACATTTTACTCCATGATGCTGCCACCTCTATGTGGATCTTCTTGCGTGTCGCCTAAACAAAGGAGTTCTTATGGATTTCTTTGAATTATCACTTTTTAATCACCAACCTTTAATATAAGCCGACAAAGTGGAATAATAATAGTTGTCCTGACAACAGATTCTTTTACCAGGAAGCGAACTGCACTACCTGAAAATGTAATAAATGTTGCAATTTTGTTCCCCAGTCGAACCGAGACTACCGGACCACCAGATGTGAAAAAGCCTACGTTGCACACAGGGGGAACCTGTTGTCTCATTCAGACAAACCAACAGTCTGAATGTTTGCGTCATCTGAGTAAATTAAGCAGACAAAAACTTTTTTTTAAATATGTCAGACTTCAAAGGACGATGTGTAATTTTTCTGCCTAATTCACAATTACGCGTTCATTTGTTCAGACAAAAGAAAGTACAAAAGAGAAAAAACAAAATGTGTGGGAGTAAACTTGGGGAAAAAAAAAAATGTGGTCAGAGTTTAAAGGCCAATTTTGCAAGAAACAGACTTCACCTCGTCCTCCCACACTCCTTAAATCTAATTTAATTTCCAGAGATTTTCTCTGAAAGCCGACGAAGTTCCAATTATTGGGAGCGAAATCTAAATGAATAATTAGCCGCGAAATATCACGTCCAAGCCCTGAGCTTTGAACTAATTTGATTAGGACTTTAATGAAGGACCAGCTCCAAGCATTTATTTTTACCTCTAATTTTGTTTCCATGGGGGTTTTTTTCTCGCTTTTTTGTTAATTACTTCATTAAAAATGAAATCTCACCCTATTATCCACGCACGTTTGCAGCTAAAGCTAAATATAACGACATGCAGTAGCAAACATCACACAGAAGGAGCTCTTGCTGACGACACTCCAAAATAAACACCTCACACTGACGTGCGGCGGTAATAAGGGGCAGCAGCGTTAATGTACTTCCATCAACTCTCTGTGTTTAGCTACACCTCAGCGTATCTGTCATTAAAAGTAAGAATGAAACGAAGCACAAACATTTATTTTGGTAATGACCTCAGAGCTATTACACGGCCACTTGGTCTCAGCATCTCTGCAAATCTCCGCCTACGTCAGCACAAATAGCGCAGGCGGTGTTTAGGCCATTAGCATTTGAATAAAAATAGAAATCTGATTTGCAAGCGGCTCAGCCTGCAAGTTGAACTTCCTGGAATAATAATCATAATAGTAATAAAGAAAAAAAAAAAGAAAAAGCCTGTGAATTAAATCTAATTCAATTAGACGGAAATTTCATTAGCTGTTCAGATTAAAAGCAGAGTGGAGATTCTAGTGCGTGGGCGCTCTGTTGGAAGCCGCTGCATTTAGCCGCAAATTTATTATGAAAATGAAAGCGGTGGAGAATTAAAACGGGGTCGCCGCAAACACGATAAGCGAATGAGAGTCGAAGGTGTACACGCAATGCGAACACGAGCGCAAAAACAACAAAAAAACACAAAACAAAACAAAAAAAGAAAACGCTTGTTTACAAAAATCCTGAGGAAAAACCTCCCCGGAGAATATCCAGGGAGGGAAGATGGCGATGAAAGTAATGAAGACGGAGAACATGCAAGACAGCAGAGACATAAAAGAGAAGCAATTAGTGAAAATAAAGGAGGAGCACAAGTGAGAGAACGACAGAGGGGGAACGTGGCGACAGAATGGGTGGACCATTTGCTCGGTCATTTTTCCGTCTTCGCTCCTTCTCTCTCTCTCTCTCTCTGAGGGCTGACAACAGGTGGCCTTATCATTACCGTAAGACTCACAAACCCCGACTCCAACGAGCCGGCGGCTTTGTTGTGTGTCGCGGCGTGAGCGCGGGAGGTTTTTGTGTTGTGTGTGCATCTAATAACTGCTCATTACAGCAGCAAATCAGATAGAAATCCCCCAAACTGCTGCCGGGCTCGTTCGCTACACCCGCTCTGCATCGCCGCCGCGGCATTGATTGCAACACGGCCCAATTATTGAGGGAGCAAAAGCAAAAACCCGACCGAGTCCCGGAGGGGGGTTCCGCGCGCTGGAGTGTGAGCAGAGGGTCAAGTCGAAGGGGGTTTGATGAAGTGAAACAGGTTTTTTTTTTTCCCCCTCCCCTGAGTGCCAAGCAGAAAAACAAAAACACAATAAAACAAGGAGGAAGTGAAGTGACTGAGCGCACCCTAAACTGAGTCATGAGCCGCGTCTGGGGACGGGTTCCTGCAGGTGGATGTGAGGCCATGCTTACCACCTTGTTGTCACATTGCAGAGGTTTTTTTGTGCTGACAGAAGAAAATATACGGGAGGAGATGGATTTACTCAGTAACCTTGAGAGTGTTACGCCTCACAGAGAGCAGGAAAACGTGTGAGATGAGTCAGGGGAAATGTTGGAAGGTTTTTGATTAATTATGAAGCTCATTTTTTAACAGGTGTTTTCAATTTTTTAGCTAGAAGAACTGAAATGCTAAGTAAGAGGTAAAAGTACCTGTAGGTTACCTTGTAGATTGGACTACGCTGAGTCACAAAGCTTTGTAGTTTTACTTTTATTATTAGATAAAAGCAAAAGATAGCCACTCATTATTTGGCAGGTTTCTTCTTATTACTCCTCCATTTCTGACAGTTACTAGATCATCTGTGTCATAACAGATAATCTGTGAAAGGTTCAATCTCCTCCACCTCCTCCTGTTATTATTGCCATCTGAAGAAATGCAAACAGCCAATCAGAGCCTGGAGGCGGGACTTCGCGCTGTCATTCATCCTCATGTAATGCTGCTAAATGTTCCAATGGAGGAGGAACAACTTACTGTTGCAGGAAGACCGTTTCTTACTTAGCATTCACAACAGGCTATGCTAGCTGTAGTAGCACGAGTTTGTGATTGGCAGCAGTAAGACCCGCCTCTTTGCTCTGATTGGTTGTTCCTTGTTAGGAGTGTGATTGTTTTTGACAGATTGTCTCATACCACGACACTGTGAAAGCGTCAAGTCAGTTTCCCTGTTGCTTTTTCTTCTCCTGTAAAGACGTAGCAGCTGAAAGCTAAGAATGTGGAGGCGCTGGCCTTTAGCTAACAGCAGAGGAATTCATGTTATTACATATCTCACCCTGTCTGCAGCTACTTTCTGAGTTATTTGTTCAATTTTCAAGAATTACAGTGTTAACAAAATAAATTAGACCGACAGATGATTCAACGACTGGTAGCAATCAGTCGACATTGTGGGTGTTCTTCAGTGTCCTCCAATGCAACGGAGAAAAAGCGAAAGAAAAAAAAAAGCCTTTAAAGAAGGTTGCTCCACGCGTTAACAGGGAGCAAACAAAAGTGTGAAACAGAAGAGGATGTTTCCTGCCTCTGCACTTTCCTTATCAAAGAACCTTTTAAATGTTGTGCTATAATTCTATTAAAATTGATGTCCTAATTAAATCTACAATGAACGTTTATCTCTGCAGCAAGTGAATCATGCTTTTGTTGCTGAACTGTCCGTCAGGAGTCCCAGTGACAAGAAATGTGGCCTTATCATTTAATTTGTTGCCTTGCTACAAAGACATTTCTATAATTGTTGTGTTTGCGGACCGCCAGGCTGTAATTATTTTTAACAGAAATACTTTCCTGTATGCGTTTCGATTCTGTTCACATCAGCCTTTTGAGGTGCCTTGTTTGCACCTACGTGTGTGTGTGTGTTACCTGTGGTCGGAGTTGTCTGCTGATGTCGTTGGGGTCCAGGGCGAACAGCGTTTCCCGGGCGCCGACGTACAGAACCCTCTCGTGGTCAGACAGAGTCAGCATGCTGTAGTTGAACACTCCCTGAACGCTGAACCTCGCCATGCTGTCCTGCCCATCTGAATGAAGACACAAACACACGTCATCAGTTCTCACCTCGGATGATGAATTCTCTCTAAATCCAGCTAACCCAACGGGAGTTGACAGGAGAGGAACATTTGCAGCCCCCCCCTCTGTCAAATTCTGTGTATGTTTCAGCCTTTTACGAAATAGCTCAGGAAAACTAATGATGTACACGCCACAATTTTTTTTAAATCCTCTTCCAAATGGTTCCTGGACGTGCCGGGTCCTGCATGTCGGCTTGCTGACCTGCTGAAAAACTCCAGCCAGATCAGCTGTGCAACCTGTTTCTAACATCTGAGACTATAAACACTAAGAAGAACCCATATTTTTACTGAACAGACATTGAACAGTTTGAATTGCAGCAATAATGGATCCAGTTTGTTGGAAACTAGAAGGAGTCACATCATTGTTCACTGAATGACTTGATCAGATTCATGAACCTGAAATACGAAATGTTAGGATAATTCAATAGAATAGAGTCAATGTAAAAGGACTGAGCTCAAGGCTTTAGTTCCCCACTTAGTACAGCTAAGCTAGCAGTTTTCTAAGTTGTAGTCTTAACCTAGTATAGTCAAAGTTGGTTAGCATAAATAACGCAACCAAACAGTTTTCAGAGCATAAGAGGATGTCTCTACTAATCTTCTGCGTTTAACTTTTCTGCTTTCGGTTGTTCTTTTGCCCCCTACTGAAGGAGGAGCTAATATGCCAGCTAACCGCAGCGTAAATCCTCTGGCTGTGGTTAGCTGACAGGCTAATTAAACTAGCCTGTAACCACAACAATGGCAACCTCAAAATGAGGAAACAGTTGGCAGATATTTCCTTCGGGGGTTGGGGAGCTTTGGAAAATTAAACAAAACTCGACACAAGGTGAGTAGTAGATTTATGTTTTGTGGTCAAAGCCGAGTTCCACAACTGAAATTACATAGTGACACCAAGGAGGTTAAGATACAATAACAAGGTCCAGTTTCCCTTTGGGGATCAGTGGCAAACCATCCACAACACTGAGTAGCAGCTCTAAAGAAAGGTTTACTGAGCCAATATGCAGGAGAGTAAATACAACCAAACTCTGACTGAGCCAGCTGTTGACTGGCTCTTTTGTCACCTTCCCATCTGTCGGGCGACAAGAGAAAGAAACCCATGGAGTCTTTTTATTCTTTTCACCCCCAGGAATTTCCTTAAAGAGCCGTACAAAAGTATTTAATGCCCAGAAATGTTCACATCTGTGATGAACCAAAACAAATGCATAACACACCTTTCTGATTTAGTTGTTTGAAGCAAATCTAAAAAGAAAAGCATTCTTTTCCTTTAATTCATTTTTCTATCATATAAAATCCCATCAAAATGTGCTGAAGTTATGGATTATAGCATGTTAATCCAATATTAATGTCGCTATTGGTCCTGATATTGAAAAAAAATAAATCCAGCAGATCTATTCAGTTTAACTCTATGCTTGGTGCTGTGAGCAGCGCCATGCTTTATTGTTTATTTTTGCATTATTTTTATAGTTCTAATTGCACTTTCTGAAGCATTTGGAGGAAGGTTTGTTAGTCAACCTGTTGTTTTTGTCAGTTTCAGTTTCTTTATTATTTATTTTACATTGGCTGTTCTATTCCTAATTGCACTGACTGAACAAATAAAAAAATGTTTTTATATGTTTGACCAAACTAGTGAAGCCATTGCTGTATTGAAGCTGCACAGGTGCAGAGTTATTCAGTGCATTTATATCTGTGTTTAAAAAAGAAACATTTTAAGTCAATTCTGCTGTTTTTCTGGATTCAATCGGTATCGGCTGATACTAAACCTCGGATATCTGTATTGGTATCGCAAGTGAAAAAGGTGGATGGGTGTTGTAATGCGGCGAAATGCAAAAAAAGGGGGAAAAAAAAAGTTAGAAACATTTGCAAGGCCTTTATATCTGTAAATAACGGTCTCAGTCTGTAAACTGAAAGTCCTGTTGGAGCCTTGCGGATCATCGCGATAACATTTCAACGCAGCACAACAGAAGCTCTTCGGACGTGCGGGAAACGATTCCTGCAGGATGAAGCGCTGCATGGGAAGTTTCCAGAGCTCTGTGTTTACTCTGGGAGTACGGGTCTGTCTGCAGGGCAAGTCTGATAAGTTCCAGATCTTCATTTCAGAAGCGCGATAAGGTGATCATGTGTTTAGAAAGGCCGTGCAAATAAACAAGACGCAGATATGCTCGCCCGGAGCAGCTCTGGCTTTAATGAAGGGTGCAGCGGTCTGTGGCGTCCCAGCTGTCGGCGACAGGTCTGAAAGCACAGCTCTTCACAACCCGCGGCTCTTAAATTCAATACATATTGATGCATATAGAAGATATCGCCATTAAAGGAGTGCACAATCTGTGCAGAATCACCTATTTTTTGTTTGTTTTCTTTTTACTTTAGAACAAACTAACTTTCAACGGCTTCAATAACGCTTTAGTGCGTTGTAAAGGCGGCCTCGTTATCGAGCCGCATGCCAAAAGGTGCACATTCATACACTTGTTCAATAAAGCTTCCATTAAGACAGGTAATTTCCATATTAAGAAAATCGACTGCACTTGTTCTAGAAAACAACATAAATTGTGCTTTGCCTAAATTAAATGCAGCTTTCAGAGCAGAGATTGTTAAAACTCAGCACTGCAGTCCCCACCACCCCCCACCTTGCCCGTATACACACACACACACACACACACACACACACACACCCTTATGGAAAAAGAGCAGCCTATTCCAAGCTCAACAGAGCATCTAAACACAACAACACTTGGATTTGTTGGACCTGGAGGCATTATTGCACGAGGAAAATGAGATCCGAGCGACAACGTGAAGGGAATGCAGAGGACTGCGGTGTTTATAAATGCTCACTAATAACGGGTATAAATCTGCACCGGTGATTAGGTTGTTCATTGTCTTTGCATGCACATCCCTATGCAGGTTGCAGTTATAAAAGAGGGGGCAGAACAGGGGGTTTGCTCTTTTCAGGCTGTTCCTTTAGAAAATAAATTCGACTCTGGCCGCCTTGTTAAAACCCTGTTATTGCTTTGAGGAAAAAATAGAATTAATTTATATGATTTATCTAGTTTGAGATGATCAGAGAATGTTCTTTACATAATCCCTTCTGCATGACAGAAAAAGAGCTGAGGTTCTTATGTCAAAATATGAAAAAAAAATACTCCCACTGCTTCACTCATCCATACAACCCACACACACCCACACACACACACACACACACACACACACACACACACACACACACACACACACACACACGTTGTATTTCTATTGGTATTAGGACTCTGCATTGACTTCCGTTCATTTTGGTGAACACTTGCGCCTAATCCAGATAATTTGCCTAACCATAACCATTACTAGTCTATTCCTAATCTTCCCTTAACCAAAACCTAATTCACACCTTACCTCTAAACTTGACCTCTGACCCCAAACAAGGGTCCGCGGCATTAGGACAGAGTTTTGTTCCTCATAAGGTCCTCAAAAGATTAGTAAACATGCAAGAAATTGTCTCAAATAAGATCACTAGGCAAGTACACACGCACACACACGCGCACACAACAAGCCATTCTGATGCCCTCATCAGCATACAGACAAACTAGGGCCGAATAGCAAAAGAGACAACAAAACAGAGACAATAGGAAAGGAAAAAAGGGAAGTTTAGTTTCCATTCTCTGCACCGTTGTTGCTTGTAGTGCAATGTCACCTTGTTTTTTCCTCCTCACTCCAAATCCCACGTTATCTGGGTGCAAAAAAATACATGCAAAAAAATACATGCAAAAAAAAAAAAATCATCAATGATAATGGCGAAGGCATGCATGCACATAATCGTATCCCATAAACTGAATGGGGATTTTTTTTTTCTTTTTTTGCATATTTCGGTGCTTTCGCTTTGCGACCGAAAATAGCAGCTGAAATCCATGCAGCAGGGAGCGGCAGGAACTGGTGTGATTTATTGTGTGACTAAGTGCTCGTGTGACGCGGTGGCCTAGTTGGGACGAAAACGCACGGAGAGAAGGCTGTTTTGGATGAACAAACAGGCTGCGTATTTGTCTAAGCGTGCGAGAATATCTGTGTGGGAACGAAAAAAGAGAGAGCAAGACTGAACAAAACTGGAAGCAAGATGTAAACATGATGTAACAATTCCACACTCGCTGCCACCAAATTTCAAGGATTATTTTTTTTTTTTACTTCACACGATAAATATTTTGTTCTTGGAATCAAGTTTTGTTTGTTCCTTTGGAACTGTTTTTTTTATGCATAATCGTTAAAAGTCGTTTAAATTAAAAGGAAGAAAAACTTTTTCAGGTCTGTGAATGTGACAGCAAATGTAGTTACACACTGTCACCACAAGAGACACCACAATTCACAAAAAAACAAAACAAACAAACAAATAGGATCTCGAAGCTATCGGTTAAACAAACAGCTACTAAAAGCATTTCAATATTCTCCAAACTGCAAAGGTTTCAGTTTTTAATGCCTATTTTTCATGAAAGTAGCAAAATTTACTCTATCAGGACAAACCAAATTACTTTTTGATGCCATTTTATAACCTTAATTTTATTTTTTCTTTCCTTATATTTGCCTAACCCTCTAAGAAGAGAGGCTTAATGCACTATAAATAGACTACAAGTGCCCACAATAATGAACAGACAAGTTTATGAGAAAATAGGTCAGCCTGCTCAGATGTTGAAGCCACTTCAAGCTTCCAGCATGCTGAGGTGACTGACCCTTCAGCAGTGTGGATGGAGAGACTGCATACTGCATCTTAAAACCAGGGAATACTATTGTGGGATCATTGCCGCAATATTTGAGTTGTACTTGAGTAAACTGAATAGCAGTTTACAATTTAGGTAATTAAATTGTAAACTGGTAAAAATAAATTGCCATTATTTTACAAAGGTGACGATATGCAACTGAAGCACATGCAAAAACATTGAACAAAGCAAGTTGGTGAGATAAAGGTAATTGCATACTAGATCGAA